CTATGACGTAACAACATGGCGGCTATGACGTAACAACATGGCGGCTATGACGTAACAACATGGCGGCTATGACGGCACATAGCGTAATGAACCGAAATATCTGATGTGCAACGATCGGAAAATGATCATCATTAATAAAAGCCATTTCAATACTGGTTTCCTAATCAAGGTTTCTTAATATTTCCCTCTATCATTTATTATCAAATATAAATAGTTTTCTTCAACATGAAATGAAGAAGGCAATTAGGCACTGTCTGATAGGTCTTTCCTATCTAGACAGTTCCTTAGATAAATAAAGACTGATAAGACCTTTATATTTAAGTACTTCCTTGAAGATTAATTTTATCGATGTATCTTCTGAAATAACCCTGGCTCTTTTAATTTCTATCTCGTTCTCTTTAACATTGCAAARATTAGAGTGGTTTTCAAAGTACGTATCCATAGCAACTTTGACGAAGCTACGGCTACGGTATGTGACGGAATTAATTGCAAGTGATTATTTTCGTCTATCATCCAAAACTATGGTTATGTTTTCAAACTAATTGGCAGAGGTTATTTGACAATAGCGCAGCGCACTGATTCTAAAAAGAGCTTAAAGATTCGGACAAACTTTGCATTCTGTTTAACCGATACGAGGATTATACGGACCGATTTTATTATTTTTACTTAAAGTTACAATAATAACCCATGTAAATTAAGATCATCTGCGATCGGCTGTGAAAATTATCTGCTGAAAGTAAACTCGTAAGTTTGTTTGTCCGAATTTCGCCTTTGTCTTCGTTTTTATGACGTCACGGCTGCGCTGCGCTATTGAATTAGCACTTACAGTGGAATTTTGATGGTATACATAGAGACAAGAGCTGAATCACCCAAAACGACCGTAAGTTGAAAAGGACTGGGAGAGTGCTTCCGAAATCAATAAGTAAAAGACGACGAGATTTATGGCATAAGCATACTACTAAAGAAATGAGAGAGAGAGAGAGAGAATACAAGATGTTTGATCAGTCAGACAAGAGAATGGCTTCAGATAAGAGAATGGCTTCAGGCAAAAATGTAGAATTGACTTTAAACACTTGTAGAATTTTACAATAGGTCGCTATCAATGGACGTCACTTCCGGTAATAGCTGCGTTTTTAAGTGCTTGTAGAATCTTGGAGGATGTTTTTTTGATCGCTTATTTTCTGGTTTCATTTCGTAGAAAATAGTCAAATACAATAGTTTGAGGACTTAGTTGAGGACTTAGTTGAGGACATGTTTTGACTTAACATCCAATAGTTGCCCCTCAGTCAACCGCTTGTTTGCCCCCCAGTCATCTCAAAAAAGTCACGTGATTGCAAGTTTAWCATTACAAATGCAAGCAGTTTTGTCAAGCAATAACATAGAAATACCGTTAATAAGTTATAAAGGAAAGCTAGGACAAGGCGACACTAGATTGTGATATAGGTAACCATATAGATTTATTTTAAGAAGGTTGACACAATTAAAGAGAACTACATTTGTACATCAATATTACTGGCCAGAGATGGAGAGCTAGGCGAAAATTGGTGAGTAAAAATAGCCCGGGAAAATAAGAATGCAATAGCACATTAAGGCCACAGGCAACGTAAGAAAATATTATAAYTATACAGGCAAAGATAGCAGGCTGCATGAACCAAATATTAAACGAAACAAAATGATTYCCATACCATTCATGATCATTTTATCTTCAAGACAAGATTAATCATAGATGCATATAAACCATTAGCATTTAGAAAACATTGACATCCGTAACTGCTGTCCTAAATATAGTCTTTTTCCTTATATAATTTTCTTCAATTGTGGCAATTTATTCAAATAGATAAGTCCTGCCATTGGCGATAAATAATTCACTTGACGTACTTATATTTGCAATTCGAAGTCCTGTTTTCCAATCAAGTGGCTTTYCATAGAAGTACAAATTGACATAATATTCTTATTTCTGCAATTCYCTTTATCTGTGGCAATTTCTTCATCAACGAGTTGAGTTCTGCTTTAGCCCTGCCATTGGCGCAAAATTGGCTTCCCTGACGTATTTGCCATTCGAAAGTSCTATTTTTTCCAATCGAGTGAGTTTCCACAGATGCACACATTGACATACCACTATACACAGCAAATAGTACTTTTACTTTTGGTCTGTTTGCTTAGAGGAAAGAACAAAACGGCGAAGTATAKCAAAAAACAAACAGCAAAGCATCTGCCATCCGTCGGCATTGGATTCGAAACYCACGACAGTTTCCGAGGTGAAGTTTTTCCAAACTTCCCAATATTCAGAATACTCTTAAACKCCAGAATTCACCGGTTGACGAGTTTGTTCTACATACACGGTGCTACATGAACATTTCTTCTATAGTATATCAGTGTTTTTTTCTTTTTCTTCAGTTTAGTCCAACACCTCGACAAATTCCATTCCAGGTAAGACAAAGTGATTTAGCTTTTTAGCGAGGATAGTAATCACACTGAGGAAACTCGAGCCGTTAAATAACGCAGTTGTTTTTAGGCTGTTTTTTTCTGAACTTTCTGTTTCAAACCCTTTTAAATGAAGCTTTGAGTTTAAATATGCCATGTAGTGGTCAAAATATATCTCATTTTCAATCGATTGGTTCAAGGAATAATTTACAGTAGGTATTTTAAAAGTAGAGGGGAAAAAAAAAAAAAAAACTCGAAGTGTTTTAAGGGCTCGAGGGTCCTCGTAGATCATTGTGCATGTTAAGCTCAAGTTTTTGATTTTTCTAGCTTGTGAGTTTGAATTGTCTGATATTTACATACTTTTTACTCATTTTGAAAAAAAAAAAGTTATCGAACTACCTGTAATAAKCTAGTGGGCTTGAAATAAGTATACGATTAACAAATATCATAGAGTCATACGTCTTCATGTTCAAACAATTTGCTGATAATATACGGGCTATGGTATCGATATGGATTTTGACAGCTCTGGCAATATTAAAAGAAAGAAGGATATGATTCGAGTAAGATAGGGTTCTGAAGGGGTTTATAAACACCCATTTTACCAGCAAAATTATGACAAAAGCAGTGAGTATTTTCGATTTTAAAGAAGTGAAGGTGAGACTGACCGTTGTTGGTGTGTCGGTCGAGGAAGTGACTTGATATTATTCTTACAGTTCAAAAAGACTTGTTGAAGGATTTTTCCAGTTTATCCCATCCCATTTAAAGTTTTTTTAATGACTGACAAAAATTCTAACATTTATTTAATAATTTTGAATTTTTTGAGGAAGAAAAAATAATTCATTTTTCCTTTACTCAAAATTCCAATTTTCCCTGCCCTAATTACATTTTCAGTTATGCATAGTACGAATCCACAAGGGACTGACCCTTTTGCAAATCTTCTCATCAAATTTGTCAAAATACTACTTGGAGATCAGTTCTTTGCAGTTCTTTGCATTTATTTCAAAGAAATTTTCATCAGGCTGCTTAATACCTGCGTTCGCACAAAAAAATATGGACCCATYAGTCCACGATTATCTATAGCCAATATAAGACTCATATAACCATGGTACACTTTCTTTTAGAGRCTCCACCATTCATATAAACACAAASTTTTGAAAAGGCGGCTTTTCACGGCTACCAAGTTCGGTCTAAGCATTAAGTTTAGACGCCAACTTCAGCAGTGCCATTAAGTGCTCATTGACAGCKAAATACTTCAGCTAACAAGTRAAGTCCTTTCAAACGTTTTGAAAGTTTGCTCRCGAATATCGAAACAGTTCTCCGGACATTGTCAACGGTGGATCACTCACGTCTTAATTCTACTTATAACTCAGTGTTCATTGACGCAAAACAGTCAAAGAATTACCAATTTTGAAAAGAGAAAATTCCCGGGAAAGTGTGGGAAAAGACATCGCACCTTTTCATTGATCAATTAGAACGCTCGGACAGATGTATGAGACCATATATACATGAAGCCATGACTCGTACAGTCTATCAAATTGAGGTGATCCTCGCAGTATATGAAGCAACTTATGCAGCTGCAAATTGAAAGACTCAGAAAAAAATATGAAGTCTTAGAGACTTGGTAGCTCAATGGTTAGAGCATGGCCCAGAATCGCCAGGGAACGTGTTCAAATCCCGTTSAAGTCTCTTAATTTGCAGCTGCATAAGTTGCTCTATACACTGCGAGGATCAGCTCAATTTGATACATTACAACCGCAGTACATATATATATTTTATATATATTCTCATACACATACTTATTCAGACTGTCACAATCACAGAATGTTTTAAGGATGGGCTCAGTATATAGTGATTGATACTAGTGCGGAACACCTTTCAAAATCAACAAATTTCTAACTACTGACGTACCTCATGAATGATGGGCGGGAAAACACGGTTGGCGTAGCGGTGAGAGCGCTCGCCTCATGCAACCCGGATTCAAGTCCCGYCGGGCTCGCTGTCGTATGTGGGGAGAGTATTTATTGATTCTCTCTTATGTGCTTCGAGGGTTTTTCTCCGGGYTCTCCCGTTTTTCTCAGTCCCACAGGTTGGTTAGCCTTAACAGCGCTTCTAAATTACACGCGCGAAATCGTGAAAAAAATTTCGAGAAATAATAGAGTTTTGGTGGACGCCAATCAAAGTATTTTCTAGCATTGTTGGAAAACACAAAGATTTTAAGGGCACCTGCCTATGGAATGTCATGGAAACGCATTGACTGATGTCCACCAAAACCTACTTCGTCACGATGGCAAAATGTATACGATATCACGCGTGTGATTGAGCAGCGCTATAAATGCTACTCTCATAAAAACTAGGACTGTCTAAAACTACCGTCCTGGTAGTATCGAGTTATTGATAGTAATTACTTCAAATTCAAATCGTGTGAATACTCTTCTAGTGGAAATCATAAGACATCCTTACCGCGACGCCATCTAGCTCTTCGATTGATTCCGCTTCGTCGTTTTCCTGTGGCTTTAGTCTCATTGAAAACACACAATGACTCTCAGATGCCAAATTTTGACAGAAAGCTGTCCTTATTCTTCTTCCAGCCCGACAAGCTCGAGACACCGGATTTTTCGGCATCCGTTAACACAATTACTAGCCTTCACCCTTTTAGAATTAAATAGACGGAAGCCAAAAGCTAAAAGAAAATTTGACGCGTTTGTCGCTAGAGTTGTCTGCTTCGCAGGAACGGGAAAAGCAGTCTAACTAATAGATACTCGGAACATTTGTTTACATTTTTTGATTAGTTGTCCATACAAATGATACGAGACGATTCGAAGGAGGCATTTTAGCTTTAGACAATGTCTTAAACTCATGATCAAAGTTGGGAATGTCGTCGCGCAAAATCAAGGGCCCCAGTAGTTATACTCTGTCTCCGTTTTGTCAATTAATGACGCAATAACGTACGACTTATCAAGATTTACTTAGAAAAGCTAAATAAATGGATATAGAAGAGCCTTCGATTTTATTGAAACCTTGAAACAAAGTTTGGACTGATCAAAGTCAGCCGGGCACGGCTAACTCACAGATAAAACCTTAAAATAACCTCTGGGCAGATCTAAGTCAGGGCATGGCTAACTCACAGATCAAACCCTGAAACAACCTCTGCATGGGCTGATGTATGTCAGGGYACGGCTAACTCACAGATAGAACCCTGAAATAACCTCTGGGCTGATCTAAGTCAGGGTATCATCGAACCCTGAAACAACCTCTGGGCTGCTCTAAATCAGGGCATGGCTAACTCACAGATAGAACCCTGAAATAACCTCTGGGCTGATCTAAGTCAGGGCACGGCTAACTCACAGATCAAACCCTGAAACAACCTCTGGGCTGATCTAAACCAGGAACTTTCATAAGCTCGCGTTTTGCGAAGAGAAGGAAAAACTGGAATGACGAACCCGTAGAAAGCCTTAGAATCAAACGCGAAAMCGCATCAAAAACATTATGCTGTCAATAGCCCACTTCCGAGATATGCATCGCTTGTCACGCACAAAGGTTTCTGTATGAGAGTACGTGCTAAACTAAATTTGGTCTTGAGAGCAGAAACTGAGCAATAGTATTTAGATATACAGTCAATGTCATTAACGTTGTCCACCAAAAAAAGACATTTACACATTTACACATTTAGACATATGCAGAATAAAAGAAATATCACGTGTTTCCTCGAAGGTCCTGGCATAAAACAAATGCTGAAATACCATTCTCCATCTTAAATCCTCACTAAATGGTCAGGGCATTCTGGATTTTCGATTCACGAGTTGAATTTTACATTTAAAGTTCAGGCTGACGCACACGAGGCAAAGAATACATAATGAAACACGTGATATATCTTTTAGTCTAAATATGTAAATGTGTAAATGCTACCCTTGATCCCCCCCCCCAGCGCACCTTTGACTAAGGGACTAAGGTATTGATCTAATGACGTATCGTGACATGATGGTTCCCGGATGTGAACGAGCATTTTAATTGGGTGCTCATTAATCTCACGCGCTTTGATTGGTTTTACCTATTTGATCGATGTCCTATTTCAGAMCACGTGCCATTCGCTAGAGTATCATTTCTTTGTTTAATGCATGAGAAGATATGAATATTAATATGGATACAGCTCAAACAAAGAATCTTATTTCGCAAGATAACGACACGTCTGAAATGGGAAAACGTTGTACCATGCACAACTAGGTCTATTCTGTAACGACAGCACTGGCATGCCGTAGCATTTCACAATTGCTGGGTTTGACCATACTTAATAGAGAGGAATGGTTAGGAAACCCTATTGTTATAGGTCTTTGTTCACTTTTTTCAAGCGTGACCGTGCACAATCCTTTGTTTTACCATTGTTTTACCATCGTTGGCAATGGCTGGTGTGAACAGACCAAAATCTTTCTTTTGGCTGCTAGTTCAAAATACTTAAAGATTTATAAGAGATATTTGAATATTCCTTACAATAATCCCATAGACGAAGTTTATGTTTACTTATTTTGCAATTACGGATGAGCATAAATCAAACATTGTGCATGGTCAAGACCGGTTCAACATCAAAAGCGARCAAAGACCTGATAACAATAGGTTCCTAACCATTCCCCTCTATAACTATGGCTTCACAAGACATCATTTCCTGTCTAGTGTGGAATGTTGATCAGYTGAATCAAAAGTTTTCAATAGAATTCTTGCTGGTTGACAGCACATGGTGGTCAGTGTTTGACCAYCATTTRAAGCAGATAATGAGATTCAAMGACTTTTATCAACTGAAACCCAGTAATAGAGACTTTGCACCATCACGTGCCGGCGCGCATAATACTACTTGGACTGCCTGTGGTTGGATGCATGGCAAAACAATAACATTCCTTTGCTTTCGGGAATTTGAATTGCCCTATTTCACTATGACGTCACTGCTTGTTTATGTGGGGGATAGAATCGCCAAATCCAATAGAAAATTCAATAAAATTTGCTCCTAGCGAAACAGTTTAATCTAAAATGGACTGGTTTTCAGATATAATATGTGTTAATATGTACTAAAAAATATTCTGAGCGTTTGCTGGCGATTCTACTTCTCTTCGTGCCGATTGATACGGGTTTCAGAACAATTCTCGGTGAATTTGCGGTGATTTGACCCCCTCCAACGACCATGATAAATTGCGTTTAAACAATAGATTGTTTTGATGTGACGTCATAGTGAAATAGGGCAATAGCGCAGCGCACTGATCCTAAAAATAGCTTAAAGATTCGGACAAACATTGAATTCTGTTTAACCGCTACGAGGATTATACGAACCGATTTTATTATTTTTACTTAAAGTTACAATAATAACCCATGTAAACTAAGATCAACTGCGATCGGCTGTGAAAATTATCTGCTGAAAGTAACTTGTAAGTTTGTTTGTCCGAATTTCGCCTTTGTCTTCGTTTTTATGACGTCACGACTGCGCTGCGCTATTCTTTCTCATGTAAAACGATTGTATTGTTCCTGCCATCTATCATGGCTGCCGTCACGTGATGTGGCAAAGCCTCTATTATTTATTCTATAATTTTAATATGTAATCATTTCCAACTATTTCTAAACAGAGTTTAATTCAGTTCCTATAAAA